TAGATTTAGTTAAACTATAAAACTCTTTAAATCATAGAAGAAGATGACTGTGTATGACAAGGTTAGCAGTAGGACTGCTAATATTGTAGACTCAAGAAATATTTGTGTAATATTAGTTCGACAGAAACCAACTTATGTAAGTTATGTCAGGAGAAACAGGAGACCGCAGCTCGTATATTGTTGAATGTGAAGAAACAACAATGATGTGCTGTCTATTGTTGTGAAGAGCAGAACTGGGAGCCGCTGTTCAAGCTCAGGTGTCTTATTAAAAGGTTACATTAAAGACACAAGATTAAATATACATATTTACAATTCAACTAGAGGTCGACATGAAAAGTAATTGTGTAGGTATTTACTTACATACAGGGTATCCCAACGAAAATGTGACCCCCCCTATAATTGGAAAACCGAATAATATTTCAAAATTAGCCGAGACCCGTCGATTTTTGTTCTTGGGGGGAGCTTTTTTGACAGTCAAGCCAACTCGATATGTTCATCCCCCTAATGCCTAGCAACCCCAACTTAAAACCCCACTTGTGGCACATCATTTTAAAGCCCTTTTCATTGCGAATACAGTGACGTACCGTTTTTAGAAATCGGTTGAGATTTGACAGAATTATTGGTTACAAACGAAAAGATGACAAACCAACTTACGCGTAGTAATTTCTACACAAATGCCCACCACTAATAAGTTTTTCATCTACTACACATGACCGCATTACCTAATTGTTATTGATGTGTCTATCAGTTTACAAAAAAGTCAGAAATGAAATAAAAAAGCTGAAGCAAATAAAACTAGATACTAAAATAGTTATTAGTAGAAGATACTTAAGTTTATAGGAATTCAGACCTTTTCAAAATAACAAAAAATCAGTACTACAAAAAAAGTCGGTGTTTTTTGCTTGTGACCAAGAAATCGTTAGTTTCAGCCGTTATTGAAAGTATTAACGTGACTGAACAAAAAAATGCAATATTTTTAAAATACAATTTTTTATTTAATTTTAGAATGATGTCTCCATATTTTTGCATAATTTTTACTCTTATAAATTAGAACTTTTAAAAGTTTTTACGTTTAAATAAATATACTTAGAATTTATTTAAGAGTAACACTTCTCTACCTCAAAACACCTTTTACATCTTCCTCACACCTACTCCTACTTTTTTATAAATTTTTGTATTTCAATGATTTTCTTAATTTATCACTTTGCTTTTTTACCCAGATACTATATACAGGGTGTATCTAAATAACACCGAAAAAATGTGATGAAAATTAATAGAGGTTTTTGGCATAACATTTTTTTTTTAAATTACGCCCCTACAAAAATAAAAAAAATGTTTTCCTTTTTTTATCTTCAAGCTATCAAACTTTATTAAGTTTGGTTTCTTTCTTTTCTGTTTCTTATTAGATAGAAACAGTAACAATAAATGACATTGAAATTTTTTTCTATGGATTCCATTGCAAAGAACTGGCCACTAGGTTTACACTCGTGTTAAACAGCTCATCTTTTTAAAAATTTCAATATTTTTTTTCTCATAAATCCTTAACTTTACGAAAAAAACTTGAAGGGATCAAAAAGTTAGTAAATGAATGAGGCATTTTAGACATACTTTTTAAAAGGAAAAAATTTTATCGAAAAGAAATTATAAGAAAAAATGTCATAGGGGTTGATTATTTCAACATCTTACAAAAATACTTCAGGGTTGAACAAATTTCAGAATCTGTAGTTTTTTTAACAGATAATGTTCACCAAGTTTGATATACATGGAAAATAAAATGAAAAACATTTTTTTTTTAATTTTTGGGGCGAAACTTTTCAGGGGAGAGTTTTTTCGAAAAATTCTATTCCAATAACCCCCATTAATTTTCATCAGAGAATCGCCCCTTACATTTTTTCGGTGTTATTTAGGTACACCCTGTACAACAATGGCATGTGTTGGACTGATATTTATGTAAATATATAAGTTTGGCTCTAATCTAAAAATAAATGAATAAAATCTACATCTAAATAAACGCGTTTGCATTTTTTCGCAAACGAGTGGCTGTATAAAATAACAGTAAATATAAATGTAATAGTTTAGCGATGTGGTATGCTAAACCGATCGTTCTGGCCCAAACATTAGTGTGGTATCCTGATTCAGTAGACGTGTGCATTTTATTACCTGAATTTCGTGGCAAAAGTATTTGGAGGTATTCCAAGAGAACAAGTCAGTATTTACGGCCGGATTCGGTGTGGAGAAATTGAGATAAAAAATACGCTTTTTGATGTTTTACGAGATTGCAATCTAGATATCCTCTGAAGTATATGTCCTTCAGAAGATTAAATCCTGCCGACAAATAAAAGGTACTTCTCCCTCGGACGCAGCAGCAGTGATTGCAGGATTTTTAAAGTAATAATAAGGCGATTGTTATAAAATACCTGGAAGACTCGACTGGAGGATTTTAAAAGAATTCGCTGGAGTGCCACTTAGACGAAATTGTTCGGTGAGAGCGTTCAATTTATTTTTATTTTATATGTCCTGTTACAAAGGGCCGATAAATCTAACAATACTATTTATAGAAATGTAATTTTGTTGAATTCGAGTTCGTCCTATCAAAAAGCCATTGTTTGGTCTTATTCATCAAAAGATAGCACCGTGTTTTGCCCAGAAATTCAATACCTTTGTATTCTTGAATAAACGTTACATCGTCAAACTAAATACTAACTACGTCAACAGAAGAAAAATCGAAAACTGACCATTTGTTATATTTTTACGACTTTTCGAATTCCGCTCATTCAGAATATCATTCATATTCTCTTCAATATGAAAAATATTTTGTATTCTTACTGTTCTATTATCACCCTTGACAATCACGTAAAAAACAGCTGCTATAAACATAGCTTTTTGTTCTCACATTTTACTTGGAATTATTTCATCAGGTAGGCTCCCTTTTCGTATGGAATTAATAAATATTTGCCCTTTTGGTATATTTTGCATACTTAGATTTTTGGTATCTAAGAACATTGCTTGGCATCATTTGATAAAATCTAGAAAAAATTCAGTTTGAATTATCTTAATACCTACCTTCAAAGTAGCGTAGGGATATGGATGTTACTTAATAATAAAGTATGTTTCTCAATTTTAAAGTGACGTGCTTGAGATAAACAATAAAGATTTATATTTTAAATACCATATAACTATACAGGGTGATTAACAACTTATCCAAAAACGTTTGAGAATAGATGGTGTCATGAATAATGGCGTCAATATAGTAAAAAAAAAAATTTGTAACATCCTTATAGTTTCCGAGAGATTTGTTGAAGTTGTAGTATTTTCAACCCTTACATCGCTAGGCTACTGTAGTCTCTAGCGTCATTCGCGCTGTGCGCTATGCGCAATGCGTTCTCTCACCATGTGCCCCCAGGCTATTCCTAATAAAGTGAAATCCGATTTTAGTATTAACGTTTTTGCGATAGTGTTTACCTTAGTTTTTCAAGTGTCAAACATGGCTCACGTGTGGCTCGGAGTTGATGCATATTGTTTTAATATTGTTTTAATTTATGGCGAAGCAAGACATCATTTGTGTTATGGTGAACATTTGTGTTAATTCGTAGACACTGGGTAAGATGGGCCCAAATGTGTTTACATGTCGGTGGACAAAATTGTGAACAGTTGTAATATTAGGTATATCAAATTATTCTATTAATTCAAACCACATAATAGTTTTATTAATTAATAATAACAATAGCGGCAAAAACAGTTGAATTTGCTGATATAAAATAGGTGTTAGGTATAAAATTTTATTTATTTCTTTCCTTTTTTATTTTTTTTTACAAAATTTTATTTGCAAGATTTCCCTGAACATTCAAAAAGTTCTGAATCACCCTATTGGTGATCTATTGGTGACATAAACTTGTACAGCTAAAAACCCCCATTTTTTTCTATATCTAAAGGTAGTTTTAGAAAAAAGTGAGTGTGACGCTATCAATTTTTTATAAGTCTACATAAACCATTTATATCCAGAAACGTGTAACAAACTCGGTATCGATAGTTCTTCTGGTTTAGAAAATATTACAAACAGAAACTTATCAACAAGAATTGATTTGATTTAAATTCATCCTTTTTGTGTCAGTTTTGGTTAAGGAATACCCAGTAGCAAATTGGTAAACTGTAGAATTTTCAAGCCGCTGAATATCTTTTAAAGCTCAATCAGTTTGTTTAATTCCAAATTGCTTTTTAATTACTTCTTTTCGATGGTCAAAGTCTTTTTCATTTTTGTTTTCAGTAAATGCGGTATACAGATTAAAAAAAAACTGAAGTTTCATGAATCAAACAAATTTTCGAACGGAGGTAGTTTTATATACAAGGTGTTTCAGACCACCCGTCCACCCCTTCTGAAATCAAGGGATATGAAAAATTTGATACCACCTCATAGTGAATGGACTATGCCGGATCGATTGGAGGTAGTTTCAACTTCCAGCTCCCACCGTAAGTGGCCTATTCAGACCGGAAGTCAGTTTTTTCAAATAGAATGGCACACTTTTTCTTATTGATCTAGATTCTACGCAGAAAACGAATAAATTTATGTAAAAAATTTTTTTCTAAATCGTCGTTTTCCACCCCAAAGTGCCTTCCGAAATGTGTGTTCCCCTGAGAAGTGACAAAAAATGATGCGCAGTATTGTACTACCAGGTAACCTAAATATGTACATTAACGAGGTTGTCTCCACTGTAAAAAATTTTTAAATTAATACATATATCTCAGAAAAGTTTTCATAGATTTTCGGTTTATTAAATCTTGTGTGTCTAAAATAGAACAAAGAATCAATTTTAGATGTACTTACTAAAAGAACGCCCTGTATATTAACGCTGGCTTACTTTACAATACATTTATATTCAAAATCAATATTCACTGCAGCTCGAGTGCCAATTTTGTAAACAAAAAATGAAATACTTCCTATATTTGCATTTTGTGTAAGCTTTCCCAAACCAACAACTGCAGTGACATACAGGGAAACGCACACAAAACATTAAGATCCCACAACTGCTGTTTGTTATGTCCCGAAACGTCAAAACGTTTGCCTTTCGATAAGAGTCCTTCTTTGACCACCGGCATTTCAAACCAACCACTGTTTGCAAACATCTCCGATGTGTAGAGGTAAACGATCTGGCAAAGTGTGTAAGATGCTATCAGGACAGTCATATGGTGGCTCTCGAGAGCGGAAAGTTTAGCTGCCAGCACGGGCTCCTGCTTGTTGCTGTCCATCGTTTAAGCCACACTTGAGGGACCGCGTTAATCGAAATGTGTGAGAGGCAGGTAGCTCCGATACATTGACAGCGGGCGGGAAATATGCATTTGGTGATGTCATTTTTATTATTATTATACACAGGTATCTAGTTATTAGACTACAGAACCTTAGAGGTTCACTACTTTCTTCAGTGTAATCTGTTAGAGATTATAATGTTTTTTATTGAATTAATTTGAAACAAAACGGTGTAAGCGAATTTTTTTCCGATCCAAATAAGTACAATGGTTATAACGGTATCTATTAGTAAAATAAATTTGCATGTAATCTCTGTATATGTCATATTGGAAAGCAAATAACTATAAAATATTTTGACAAACATTTTACAATTTTTTACAATAAAATTTTTATTTTGTTGCATATTTAATTTTCATTTTATAACAACAATCATTTTAAACAGAAGTGAAAGAATCTGCAATTAAATGATGACAAAGCCAAGTACCTAGAAGAACTGATTAAATCATTTATTTATTGTTAACTTCGAATTTTAGTAACACCTACCTACTTTATTAGTAATTTTATTTTCAAATATAAGAAATAAAAGAACTTTAAGAATATTAAGTAATTTTATTAATTAACTTCAGATTAAGTTTTTTGGCGATTGTTTTGGTATCAGTTTGAAATAGATATATAAAAGTTCTTCCATACTTTCTATCCTGCCTTTCGGATCTTTTTACCAGAGATGCTTTTTAATACTGTTCCTTCTATATACATTTAATGACTGTCGATTTAATTTTTTAAATTAAAGATATTTTTTTATTATTATGTTAAACCATATGACACAAAAAAGTAAAAAAATGCTCACCTTCTAAAGTGATGGTTTCCTCAACAACATTGACTTCTTTGTTATACACTAATGTTTAATAAGTAAAAGTCTAGATAATTTAACTCAGGAAAAGACGTAGCTCGTGAATCCGGACTGATTGGCAGTATTCTATCCATCTATCATAAAACTCAGTATTTATGTATTCTTGTACAGTGTGATAGCAATGAGGTGGAGCCTCATTAAATAAATACCATCTTCCTAAACGTACGTAAAAAGGTGGATAGTGCTTCAAGAAGAACTAGTAAATGATGTTCCAAAAAATTCAAATAATGTTGCTCAATCAGGTGAACACAGAAGGTCCTAATAAAATATTGTTCACAATGTTGCCTTAACATTAATAGAAAAGCTATTTTGAGAAGTAGTCTGCGAAATATATGAGAACTTTACCTACACTAGACTAATAGTAATTCACAAGAATCTTTAAAGAATAATTTGACAACAAAAGAACTGCAACAGAATATTTGTTGGTCATAAATTTATATCAAAAATGTAACTTATTTGCTATTAATATTTTATATAGGTATTAATTGTTGATGTTCCGATTAAGATGGGAATCATAATATTTATGTTATCAAATTATCAATTCTGGAAATTTCAGGTGTTGTTTATTTTCTACATTAAGAATTTTATTTGCTATGTTTACTTTATTCTGAATAGAATTTTCGATATAACCTTCTGTCGCGCTAGCAGATTTTCATCTCCCGTTTGGCTTCATTTTAATCTCCAATTGTTTTAATACCAAATGGAATGTTTTCTTTATCACTCGCTATTTACCTTTAAATGACTTAGAGACGGCAAAACGTCAAAATCTGCTGACAGATAACTGTGATACATATCCACAGATAACAGAACTTTCTACGTACATACCCACATTGTTTTTAATGCAAATTTTGAAATGAAAGCTTGGTTAAGTAAAGTTACTTTATGTCCCTTTACAGAGCCCTCTCTTCTTTTTTCTATTTAGATCAGCAACGACGCACTTTTCGAGCTAAAAAGTGATCAGAAACAGACATTTTCTAGAAAGACAGCACCCAATGAACTTTACATTGCAGCAAATTACTGGTGGTTGTAAAGTAATGTGACACTTTTGGAACTTACCCCTTTTGCGCGTACATTACCCTAACTAACAGCGTTTGTACTTGAAAGCACACCGCGCGTTATCAAATTTTCAACTAAATTCGTTGCCTTACGTGTAGAAAACACAGTTATGAACTTCGGCGGGCTTTATGTACCGGCAAGCAAAGCAACAACCGAAAATGCATATTACGCGCCTCCTGTAGCGTGCACTGAAGCGCAGAGCACGTGCTCGAGCCTCTCATGTTAATTGCAGAACTCGCTTCCGGTTAGAACGTACTACCAGTCGAGTAAACTCTTCACTGAAACTCTGTTTGTGTGTGGTGCTCGAGAGGGGTTCTTAAAAATGCTCACGTCCACAGCTTGCTCGTCTTGTTAGCTGCATTTTAATGCCTCCCGAATCGTTTACGAAGATGTACCCCGCTCCTGGCGCCGAAATTTAGGAGATTGTGTCTGTAGTTAAGAATATCTGTTTGTGGGGTAAAATTGTGGTTTAAATGGGCGATCGTGTGTTTTGAATTGAAATCAGGAGGACAACATTTTCAACAAATAACAACGACTTGTTATTTGATCTCTACCTTATCTAAATCCTAACACAATAGAGGATTTTTTCACGGTTCTGGATGTATAGATTTCTTATGCTCAAAAGGCTCTTTAAAAGTAGGTACAGATAGAAATTTATTGCAATGGTCAGTACAAACTTTGATGAAGAATGAAGTTGAAGGATTTAAAATTGCGAGACAACAAAGACAATTTTAATCAGAACAAATCATGCTATTTTTTCTCCAACTGAAATCCCCCTTTTAATTATTAATTTGTGCTTTGAAAATTATTCAAACCAAATGTGGACAATAAAGCAAAGTTGTCAAACATTAGTCGCCATATTGCTAATTGAGTTCGTTTGTGTTTGTTTGTAGTTTAATTTGCGGAAAACTGTAAAAATGGAATCTAATAAAGATTTAGGTGTACCTGAGGAGATACTGCAGTGTGCGAAAGAGGTTGCGTACTTTTCTCAAGAGACAAAATGAGGGATATGTACCGAAAAAATCGCGAGTATTTGCAAAGGAGCAAGTTGATTGCTTTTTGAATAGTGCGCCTGATAATTTATATTTGATGAAGGTAAACGTTTTAAAAATAAAAGAACAAACTTTTTAAAAAGCTTGTTTATAGGTCGTCCTAATATTGGGGGTTGCAGGCGCATGCCGTTCTGATGAATTAGTCAATTTAGCAATTGATAATGTTGAAGATGTAAAAATCTGCCATAATTATAAAAATTCCAAAACCAAGAGACCACGTTCTTTTATTGTGCTGGGAGACAATTATTTAAGCTTTTATCAAAAATATGTTGCTTTACGTCCAACCGGATTGGTAGAACATCGATTATTTCTGAGATATGTTAGTGGAAAGTGTCATCGAATAGTGGTCGGTATTCATAAAATCATAAAATCAGTGCCGTCCCGTAAGAAGTGACAACATTTTTGAAGCTGGAAAGAGTACAGTGAACACGCATTGCGACTGTAGTATAAAAATCCCGGGTTAGATCGAAAAAAAAATAAACGTAGTTTTTGCCAAAAATATGTGATCGTCATGAGGCATACCTACGTTGTATACATCTATTTTTAATTGTCGGGAAGGCACTGGCTACTAACTTTAAAGAGGGGAAATATGCTTTCATTTTATAAAACAAAAGCAGAGTAAATACACCTAACTTTATTATTTACGTACAACAGTCTTCAAATTAAACTTGTGACACATAGAAAGAACAACAAAAACATTAACAACCCTTTAACATAAAATGGGAGTGCCAGGCTCACCTAGAGCTCCTGTGGGGAAAGAGCATGGCAGAGAAACCCACGATCGTTGCTCTAACTACCCAAATATAAATACAAAACAACCGCTAACCAAAGGCATAAATTAAGATCTTTTGCTAATGTTAAATAACACCCGACTTATTTAATTTCTCACTAAATGTCACCTCACTCGAATTAGATATGCACACTTCAAGTAAAACTGAAGAGGTTTGGTGTTAGTTAGCCGGCAGGGCCGGAAGGTACTGGAGTCCGATACGGGAGGCAATCCAACTATGAGTTGAGATTTCGGAAGATCCGTTTTAGCAATCCTTTTTTTGTATTTAATTATTCTTTTTACAGATTCATTCCTCACGGGCGAAAATGTTAGTAAATCCAACAAGGCTCTTATATGTGTATGACATAAAGTGAGCACAAGAAATGCTTTATTATTTGTTTTTCGAACAACGTAATAATGATAAAACAAGTTAAATTTGAAACAAAGGAGTTGTTATTGCAATATCTGGGCAGTCACGACAATATATACTTACATATTTTAACATGTAATAAATAATGAGCAATCGTTAATAATAATTGTAACAATTTTACTTTAGAAAAATATGTGCCCTTGAATATAAAGCAATGGAGGCTAAACATACAAAGAAGAATTGTTATCATTAAACATCTATAACCATCACAATCATAAGATTACATAGAACAATGAACAACAAAGTACTTAGAGAATATTACCTGCTAATTAATACGGGTTAAACACTTTGATTTTTCACTATTTTGCCACACTGCCCGCCGATCGTCTTACTCCCATCTCCACCCTGGTCCCACTTCAACTATTTAGGCTTCCTTCCAGAATTCCCCACCTAAGCGTTTGTTTTTTGCGCTTCCTTCTACCAACTGTCAATATTACGTTTTCATTATTATACAACACCCATGTAACAGGTGACGTCGAAGTTGATACGATAAGTATGGTTTTGCACATGACGAACTTCTGCTACCCTTTTAGTTGACGGCGGTGGTGACCTCACTTGTCTTAAAATATACGAAGGATGGAGATCGAGCAATGTTGGGGAAGGCTACATTGAAGACTCACTTTTGAATAAAGAAAATATTGCAAAAACTGAAAGTTGATAGTGGTAATGATAAACCAAGAACCGTTGCCATTTCTGATTTCACAACATCTCAAAATAATATAACTATTAATGAAAACGTGTTGGACTGCTTTGAGAATTGCTCCAAGAATGAGGCTAGTGGCAGT